CCCAGACCTCCTCCTGTCACTCCCAGACCTCCTCCTGCCATGCCCAGACCTCCTCCTGTCATGCCCAGACCTCCTCCTGCTGCACCCAGACCTCCTCCTGCTGCACCCAGACCTCCTCCTGCTATAGTCTCCCCACTTCTGAGCCTGGGCCTTCCCATCACAGGCCCTTCATACTCTCGCCAGCACGCCTCACACGCCATCCCACGCATCCGCTGGCCAGCCTGCCAAGCTCCACTTTCATCTTACACTACAGTTCATTTCACTTTCTCCCTCCCCAGGTGCAGCGTATGCTGGGAGAAGCCACCCAACTGTGGCAGCACTATGACTTCAGGCCTTCTAACCTCAGTCAGGACTCCCTCTATCCATAAGAATGTCCCCATGAAAAGCATTTAGAAACACAGGGCATGGCGGCATGTGCTCACAACCCTAGCTCTTGGGAGGCTGAGGCAGGAGGATCGCTGTGAGCGCAAGGCCAGCCTGGGCACATAGTGAGTTCAAGACCAGGCTGCAGGACATAAGAGATCCTGTCTCAAAAAACATTGTTTAAACACAAGCTTCTCCTGCTATCCACATTTACTTCTGTCATTGATATGACCAAAGCTCACAGTCACCAAGACTTACAAGTGAAATTTATTCTTTCCTTCCTTTTCCCTTAAACTACAGTCATTAGGGGCCGGGGAGATGGCTCAGTGGAATAAGTGCTTCCCTGGCAAGCACAAGTGCCCAAGTTCAATCCCTGGTTCTGCCAAAAAAAAAAAAAAAAAAAAAACAACAACAACAACCTACAGTCATTAAATCTTTTCTTTTTTTCCCCCACTCAATGCCTATCCAAAACCTGCTCCTTTTTTTACTTCGTGTACTTGCATCTGCCCCCAGCTGCACTCTCAGTGATAGCTTCCTAACTCGCCTTGGTCTTCTAATCTTAGGCCCTAGCAGATCTGCTTCTGATGGAAGTTCAGCTCAGAAAACAACATCTCCAAAGCCCACCGACGGGCTTCCTTCTGCCAGCAGGATCTCTCCTCCCTGAGGCTGGCGCCCAGAGCCTCCTGACCCGGCCCTGATCTGCACCACAGGCACGTCTCACCAGCTGATTTTACACCTGACTCACGAGAGTAAGTGGAAGAGAACAGGCTAGGGAAATCCCATGAGGCAAGCAGCAGCATTGGCGCCAAGTCCTGGTTCCTAAGATACTATTACTAAAGGTATAAAACTTCATGCATCAACACCATTTGTTATTCCTAAGCATGCACTGAGACTTTCTTCTCCATCTTAAAATTATGAAGTATTTCAAGTGCAAAGAATATTTCATATCTTTTATAAGAGGATAAAGGATAATATAATAATCGTTCATCAAATTTTGGCAAGTCAGCTTTAGATTTTAACATATCTGCATACATACACACACACACACACGCACGCACGCACGCACGCACGCAGCGTCTGTCATCTTCCTTGCTCATCTATCTGTCTATGAAACACACAGAGGAAGCCGAGCTTCCCTTCTCTTTCACCATCAGTAATCACCAGGTACCAAATTTTTCACTCTCATGTTGTCGCACAGAAGCAGTATGAAATCGTACGTGCATAAACTGCATACACGGCTTTGGATATTTTAACTCTGACACAAGCGCAACCGCTTCCTCCTTCCAAAGCTCACTGAGGCTCACTGAACTTCTTCCTATTAGAACTGGAAAAGGGAGGCTGAACTTGGTGTGTGGAAAAATCGGACCAAGTACCCAACGATAAAACCTCCTTCAATTTTTTTTTTTCAGGAGTAGAAGGTATTGGCT